TTTTTTTTAATTTATGAAAAGCATTATCTTTTTAAGTAAAGCAAAGTGGAATATTATCCCTGTCTCTTGTTTAATGAGGTAATTATATACTGACAAATCTGTGGTTATTCGTTTGATTCAACAAATGTGTTGAAAATAAAATATGACCAAGGTTCTCTGAGGAATTTGAAGTGAATGAGAAAGAATCTCTGACTTCATGGTACAAGTCCTTATGTTGGGGCGATACAAACTTGATTTCAATAACTTCACTATAATGTGAGAGGAGGAAACTCATTAGAGGAGTTCAGAGCAGTGAAGTACCGAGAAGGGAGAGGACAAATATACAGATGAAATGATTTCAAATGCACTTATTGGAATTTTTACATTATAAATAACTTCTTGGGCTGGGAGAAGGCCTTAAAATGTTATCTGCATTGTACCCTCTCTTTCTCCCTACCCATTTCTACATCACTTAAAAATAATTATTAAATTGGCCTGGAGGCTTCATGTTAAGCCAAAAAAGTCAAATTATTTGTTTAATTTTTCTAATCAAATTATTGTTTTTTTCCCTTTCTTTATCTTCCTTTTGTTCTTGTTGCTAAACGTAATTACTTAGAAAACTCTAGAATTTATCTGGGATGAAATTGGCAGAACACTAAATCCAGGTCTAAACTACAAAACAGATTAAATTTATGTCTGTTCTCGCTCCACTTATAAATATGGATAATTAATAGTAAAATGTGTGCTTTATATAAAGTTCTTTCAATCTTAATAAGGGCCTGTAAATATTTTTTTTGAAGTTATTGTCTTTTCAGAAGACCAATTATATTACTCAAGTAGATGATTAGATTAAAGATTGGATTAGATTAGTTGTATTTTTTAAAAACTAATGCATTCCTTGTGCTGTGGTTGCAAATTATTTTTGTGATTGCTATCTTAAGTTTCAAGCTAAGTTCATGGAGGTTAGTCTTTATGTCATATTCCCTTTCAATCTGAAATATGGACAAAAGGTTGCCTTGTTTCTAAATCTTATTTCGGATACATTTTTACTTAAATGCAGGTTGATTTTTTTTTGACATGAGTCTCATCATTTCTCATTACTGTCCAAAAAGGAGAATTATAAGTTTATTACAAAATGAGGATATGTTTTAAACACATGCAAATTTAAATTCTTCCTTTAAATAGATTTTCAACCGCCAAAATATGATAATCTCAAAACCCACTAATTTTTGAAACTGTGTGCTCAAATGAAACTATGATGAGTGTTATATAGTGTTTTGGTAATAAAAGATAGTAGAGCAGTGTCCTGCTGCTTAAAAACTGTCGACTCATTCATTTCTGTTGCAAAATAAATCTTTTACAATTTTATTTCCACTCTGAAATGCTCATCATCTATATTGATGAAGTCACCAGGGGACCCACATGTGGTCTGAGAAGTGGTATGCTTCTCTGAGGTTGCATTCCTATCAGCCATAGTGCCTAGACTGAATTATACCCATTGTTTTTATTCAGTATGAGGCTGCATTTCACCAACTCAGCAATTGTAGCAAAAGGTCATAGCAGTCATAGCTGAAAATTTTATACAATGAACAGGGAATTTAGGATATTAAGAGAATTCATCGACTTCAATAACCATTTCTTGAGCATTTACTCTGTGCCCATTCCCATGAGGGATCCAAAGGTGAATGAGACATGCTCTCTAACTTCTAATCATTTGCATATTGTGATGGAGAATGGCATGTGCCAACTTAGATGATTAAAAATAAAGTCGTGAGAGGCTGTATGCAGATTTTAAAATGCATGCTACCCAAACCATAGGATGATATGAGTTAGGGATATGAAAACCCACAGCCAAGCTTTGAAGGATAGGTAAGTAGAGATTTGATAAGTAGAAATATGAGCAAAGTTATAAAGAATAGTGAGTGATGCCAAGGAGACCAATCTGAGAGGGTGGCAAAACTGGGGTGCTACTTTGCCAAACGGGCAAAAATGCGAAGAATAGCCCATTTCCAGGAGAATTAATCTGATTAAGACATGTGAACTTTAAAGTACCTTTGCAAAATTCAGACAATATCTAGAAGACCATCAGAATTGTACATCTGAAATTAGGGAGTATACACAGATAGAAATATAGCCTTAGGAGTTAGTATCACCCTGGTGATTATGAAATCTTGGGAATAGTGAGACCATCTCTTAAACATTTGACACTGGGAAGAGATGATACCCAACATGGAATCTGAAAAAAATGATGAAATATAAAAAAGTAATGGAGAAGTAGGTTTCAGTGAAGGTTCCTGAGAATGATATTTTTTAAAAGCAAAAACAAAATATGGCAGGCTGAGGGGATATTTAGAATTAGGACAGTAGTGGTTATCAAATGTCCAGTGTTGCAGAGATGAAAGAAGTAGACACGTGATCATGCAGACCTTGATAATGAAAGGAACTAGTAAACCCAACTGAGAGACATATTGTTCTCTACATTCTTCTCTTCCGCTGTGCTGTAAGCTGTTTGAGGACAGGGCCTTCACCTTGGCCTAGATATAACTGGAATAATCCCTATACACAGTTATCAAAAAAAATTGTTGAACTTAGTTGTATGGAATAAGGGCCCAATGTTTCTGATAGAGATTCAGCAGAAGTGAAACAACTAAGGGAACTGAAGACCAGGAAATGTAGTATAAAAATACACTTAAGAATTTCTTTTTAGGTCAAACTAGACAATTATAATGTCATTATCAAAGGTGGGGGCAGGGTTGCATCCCTTGACAGTAATCTTAATTAATTTCTTATCATCTTATGCTCCTATTGTTCAGAATTATTATTTATTTTTTATGAAATTTACTGAAAGTACTACAGAGTCTGAAATTTCTGTATAGTAGCTTCCATATTTCCTTGAGTAATATATTAGCTACTCTTTTAAATGAGTTTTGGCCTCTTACTTTTATATTTTGCTTTATACTAGGCCATCATTTGTCCATCTCACTGGCTTGAAATTCAAATAGTGCCTGACTAATTGAATTTTTTGTGAGATCCAATAATTGATAACATTTTCCTGGTCATCATCAAAAATTTTATTTTGTGATTATGGGATTCCTGACACTATAAAAGTGCCATTAATTGTTGGTAATACTGTGCAAATAGATATGCTTCAAAACAGAAAATAATGAAAATACAATTTGGTTGAGAAATAAATTCAAGCAACGTAGTACAAGGACTGTCCAAATTCAGTCTATTTTATATGCAAACAACACTACAGAAATGCATGTCAAAGATGCTTACCATAGCTAGTACACCATGCAAAGGAAGAAATGCCTCCAAATATATTATGTGCAAAGACTTACTAATAACGATTTTCCAGGCAGATGTCACTTTTGATGTTGTTTTTATCTAAGGAAGGT